CTGCGCTTGCGATGCGATGGGGTTTTCCCTCGTTGCTGGAGCGGTGGAGAAGCTTGTGGTGTGCAACCTTGCAAATCGGCAGCTATGTCGGGACGGCAGCTATGGACTGGTGCGATTAGACCTGGCGAGGCAGTTTATGCAGTACTTATGCACTCTTACGGCTTCAATCCTTTCAGATACATCCATCTTTCGAAAACTTGCGTGTGCTTGGAGGGGGTGGAATCGGCAGAAAAGCTGGCACTGGTATATGTCGGTTAATCTGGAAGACACAAACAAGTGGATGAGCAAAAAGGCCGTGAGCACTAGGTACTCATGAAATTTGATCTGTAAACATAAGCGTATGGAAAAGCATAAAAGTACGTTTACATATAAATATATGGGGTATTCACAACGGTGCCGAAGTGTCGTAGTATTGTATGTCGTAAACTTTAAACGGCTAAAAAACATATTATGTGGTTCGAAAAGTACCATCAAAGCTATGAATTTTGGCCGTGTTAAAAAACAGTTGGTTGTGGTTTTAAGTTCACTAAACGTTTATTTGAGATTTTAAAGTTTACGGGATACAACAATACGACACTTACGATACCGTTGTTAATCCCTCAAATATCTCAATCAAAGCTCGTTAGCTGTCAAATTGGTTGTGCTTGTTAATCACACAACTCGAGGAAAAGTTAAACTTCTTCTCTGTGCCACCGTGGTCACGTTTTTCTGCTACACATATTATGCTATTTAAATATATTTTAATTGAATATTTTATTAAAGATACCGTTACAAACTTCTTTTCCTTACTAGCGTAAATTTTTTTTACTTTTACATTTGACATTCCTCCTCTTCTTCGCAAGTATAATCGATAAAACTAGGTTGGACACCAAAAAGTTATCGGTTTAATCTGGGATAATTTGTAATTATAATTTCGTATGGCTAACCTCTTTTTCTAATTACAGATTAGGGAGTTAAGCTCGAAAATGTAGATAATCTTTTTATAAATATGTAAAGCTATTCTTAGGCGATTCAGTTACATACATACACATGTAGGTTAGGTTAGAAATTAAACATTAATTTTTTTATCCATTTTCATATTTATTTCTTTTAATACATGAAATTGTTTGTATGATTGGTAAAATATGATACCTGTATATACTTGTGACTCAAGGGCGTTAAAATATCTTGAAAACACCGCATCAATTACTGTTTTTGAGTTTGTAGTTTGCGCATTTCTATTTGTATATATTCCTAAATTTAGTTTTTCTTTTCAGAATATAATCTGTGGATCATGTAAATGAGAGCGATTTTTGGAGAGTTATGTAGAGATTGAAGTTGGAAGATTTTACCCGATGCTTTTTTTGTTACGTACGTTTGGCTGTTACCTACTTTTTACTCTCACTTCAGAGAGTGGTTTTGCTGTTTGACCTCTTATCTAGGATTTTACACGAAAAGTATTGGATCAGAGCTATTATATCATCCATACTTATGTATATTATACATATATAACTATATGCATGTATGATCACCAGTTATCAACGGTCCCAGATAAAATTATTTCAGTATCTTTTGACGTAGAATACGTCTTACGCTTCGATATGGAAGCTAGTCCAAATGTTTTAGTTGTAATTTTTAGAGCTTCACGAAAAGCGTTATTGCACTAGAAGTAGTGAAGCGATTTTAAAGAAGGCGTGTCAAAGATAAAATTCCAAACCTATCGACAGATACAATTCTGTAAGTAACCTATTCGGTGTCTGTCCTAGAAACAACGGTAAATATTGGCTAATTTTGGGGTAAATTTTGAGCTTTTAAAGTGCTCTAGCAACTTATGATTTGTAGATATAACTTCCATTTTCGGGATATAGGTTCCTTGGAGCAGGAGAAATATTGTCTTGTTCGAATTTTATATAAATTCAACAAATATCGAGCATTTTAAGGCAAGTTTTTTCCTTTCGTTTGGTATATAGGATGTGTACGGTTGCCAGACGTACTGATTTTATCAGTACAGTACTGATTTTTCAACTCCTGTACTGATTTTATTAATTTCTTCAATCAGTACGCCAATGTCCTGATTTTTCAAAATTTGTACTGATTTGCACTGAATTTTCAATTCAAACAAAATACTTTATGATTTTCTTAAGATTTTTACATAACGTTGGAGCTTGCTTAAACTGCACTGTAAAAAGTAGGAAGCAAATAATTTAATTATAGTTGAAATATTTCAAATAATGTTTGATATGCCCAAGAAATTAATACCGCAACTATATCAATAGTTTTATGGGCATATCGCTGGGTCGTTACGTACCAGTTGCGATAATATGATGAGCTTAAATGATTTAAAAATAAGGCTAACGTTTTTTTGTCGAGTGTTTGTTAGTTACCTCGAAAATATCTCCCAGTTTAATAACAGCAAATTTGAATATTCGAATGGCTTTTGCCTATAACTTAGGCTGCCTTGATATGAGGCGATTTTTTGGGAGGCGATAAGCGCCTGCAAAAGTTGACTTTCTATCTACTTTGAGGCAAGCGATTTTTTAATCCCCATTTACACGAGCGATTTTTCTTGAGCAATATTGAATCGCCTCAAAAATCGCCTCATATAAATTCAGCTTTACAATTCGTTTTTCTCAATTTACTGACATTGTAAAAGAGTTTTGCATACAAGACATAGAGTTAGATACCTACTATTTTTAGCAAATTCTTATGGTCTGATTATAGCATCTTAAAGTATGTTCACATATAAATATTGTCTCAATCAAAGCTCGTTTTTTAATCACCCCGTTTACACAGGCAAATCTCAGATTATTAGCCGTCAAATTTGTTGTGCTTGTTATTCTCACATCTCAAGGAAAAGTTATGCTTCTTCTCTATGCCACCGTGATCACGTTTTTCTGCTATATGAAGCAATATAAATATATTTTAACTTAACACTTTATTAAAAATACCTTTACGCACACCCTTTCATTGCTAGCGCCCATTTTTGTTTGCTTTTACATTTGGCATTTCTCCTCTTCTTCGCAAAAATAATCGTTAAAAGCAGGTTGGACACCGAAAAGTTATCGGTTAAATCTGAGATTATTTTATAATTACAGATTAACAAGGGGCGAATTTTATATCGCTAATCTCTTTTTCTAATTACAGATTAGGGTTTTAAGCTCGAAAATGAGGATACTCTACTTATATGTGAACCTAGTATTAACGCAACTTACAGCTCTCTCTTAAAAATTCTGTTAAATGGGTGTTGCTTACAAACTTAATGACACGTCGAAATCTGTTTCATTTTGATTCTCTAAGTCCTACGTTCCGTTAAGTTAAGTTGCCATAATCAGGCTTTTAGTCTTTCCATGAGGATATATAGAGGAAGTTCTTAAAAAGTAATACTTTTCCACAGTTTGAAAAAATATGTAAAACGAAGCAACTGAGAGGATCTTAAGTATAAGGTTTGCTTTATTGCCCAAAGAGAGAAACCGGCTTCTAATTAAAATTTTTGAAAATGAACTTCAAATTAAAAGTAACTTTAAAATTAATAGCCTTATTCGTAAAAAATAAAGTAGCTTTAAAAAAGGTTTATAAACTGAAAAATGTATGAAAACTTCAATTTATAAAGCTCTTTAAACCTACTTTATTTTTTATGAATAAGGCCATTTCTTTGACTATTTAACCACTGAAAATTGAAATTATCTCATTAATGCTATTCAAAAATGTCATAAGTATAAAATAATTTATTGGCTCTTGTGTAAAATGATGTGTACACTCATGTTAAAATGAATAACATTTTTATTTTTTATAACCTATATTTTAATTATATACCAAAATATTGTTGAAAATAAGTACACTGGCGTTTTAAAGTATTATCTGTTACTTCATTCATAATTTCGCTTTGAATAAAAGTGTACTGAAAAGTACTGATTTTTTTTAGCATGAAAAAGTCTAGCGTACTGATTTTCCGCATAAAAACTCTGGCAACCCTAAGGATGTATTGGTTGATATCTTCTAAGCATGTTTATTTGATTCAAATATATGGGCATAAATGATTTTCCATACAAAAGCACTTCGTCATCAACTTGCAAAACACGTGCTTGCGTTGGAAGTGAGAGACGGAGACAAAAAGTATGTGTGTGTGTGTAGGTATTTCGGCTTTTGAGTAACAGATGGCGCGATCTTTATAACCTAATCCCAGCGTATATATGTAAATACATACATACGAACATATTTTGATTTAAGTTTGTGGATATGTTTTTCTTTTAGTAGATAATCTATGTATGTATGTATTTATGTACATATGAACGCATAATACGCGAAAACTTTTTCGTCTCATCAGATCAGTACCGTTCGTTCGATTTTCCAAAAAGTGGTAACAAATTAATGGGCTTGGGCTGTGATGTGTAATAACTTCTCGTTTTTGTAAAAAGAGTTGCCACCTGATAAAAAAATTAAATTCAAATTATTTTTAAGCTAAATCAATTATTACACTATCGCCCAGTTTGTTGACCGAGTTTTAAAACCGTATAAAACTCGATTTATTTAAATCGTGATTTATAATACGACTCGGTTTATGACCCGCATAAATTTTTTCGATTTGTTCACAAACATAATCAGACTTGCGACGCGTCGTAATTCTGTTTTGCGATTGAGATTTAAGCTGCTGACAAAGAGCTGAATTGTCAGTTTACGACGCGTTTTTTAAATTATAAATTTTCAATTCGTAAACATAAAATTTCCAATTTTGCGTTTTCTTTGTGAATTTTGTCTTTTGGTTTCCAAAAATGGAAGCAAATGGCGATTCAAAACAACAAGCTGGTCCGTCAAAGGTCCGAATCCAAAATTAGTCTGCGGCTGAGGAGGATTTGTTGTCCGAGCTTGTGCTAAAGCACAGAAAGGTGCTGCTAGACAAAAGTACAAATCTGCTAAACAACGAGCAAAAAAAGGAAGCATGGTGAACTATTGAAAAGGAGTTCAATTCGTCACCGATTTCCAAGGTAAACTTTTTCATTCTCCATTCCGATAGGGTTTTCTAGTTTTCTGTGCTTTTATGGACATTTCGTTCAGCCAAGAATCTCCTAAGTAAATTTAAAAATATCAAAGCTGGTCTCCGCAAAGGCTACGCCGCGAGTAAACTGTCGCGTCAGCTCACCGGCGGCGGCAAGCCTCCACCCGATATTGACCAGCAACTAAGCGGCAATAAGCAAGACTTACATGCTGCGATTGCGCTAACAATCGAAGGTCTCGTGCCAAATTTCGACGATAACGATGAAGCCCAGTTCGCCACAGCAGACTCTGAGCCCTATTTCGAAACACGCCCCGATAACGTCGACGCCAGCAATGACACAACGGAGCTTTTTCTCGATATTATCCAAATGACAGATGAAGAGAACGATCCACAAAATACCAGAACCATAAATCTCTCTGAGATGCAAAGTACAAGTAGAGTAAATCTTCCTGAGACGCAAAATAAAAGCAGTGTGAATACCTCTGAGGCACACAGCGCAAATCTTAAAACTGATTCCAACAATAATAGTAGTGATAAACAAGAGAGCGAGATACAATCGCATCCAACGCACGCACTTATCCGGAAGAACAAAAAAACTCGCAGGATGGCCATTGCTCAGTCGAACCCTGCTAACGACAACGCCAAGTGTGCGGTAATTGCCAAAGCGGCTTTCTTTCAGAACGAAGAAAAGCGAGATTCTGAACGACATGAACTGCAAATGCAATTGTGGCGTGCAGAGCGCGAGGAGAAGAGTACAGTGCACGAAATATGTTTAGAGGAGCATCGTTTACGCATCGAATTATTGACTGCCCAAATTGAGAGCGTAAAACGCAAGCGCACGAATTTCTCGGAAAACGAAATTTGAAAGAATTAGGTTTCTGTATATGGGAACAATACTAATACTGCAAAATTAAAATTTAAATAAAAGATTTTAATTAACATGTTTATCGTATTTTGGTTGGGATTTCATTTGCTTATCTTCCAGCCATCAACAATCCATGGAAATATTCTCTTGTGAGTCTATCTCTCGCATTACTCCGCGTACCATCGCGATCTGTAACAGACTCATGCAGGGAGCCCATCCCATCGTTGATTCCATCGATTTCGCCGTCCGGTACGTAGTCCCGTTCGTTCATTGCAATGTTGTGTAAAACAGCACATGCGACAATAATTTATTGGACCGTATGTATGCGCACACGCATACCCATTGATAGTACAGGCCAACGTCGTTTAAGTATACCGTATGACCTCTCCACGACATTGCGCGTGCTAATGTGGCTGGAGTTGTAAAGTTGCTCTTCAGCTGTTTGCGGGTTCAAATGCGGTGTCACCATATATTCGGTGTTACGATATCCGCCGTCGGCTAAAAGCAAATAGTTGCCGAAAAAATTGTAGCGTGATCAATAACTGGTTTAGCGGTGTTATGCTTCGGGATCTGTGAATTATTATTTTCAATTTAATTTGATTCCTGGCAAAATGTACACGGACACGATGTTTTTAAAACGAACCGAGTTGGGTTGAATGGCAAACTTGGCGCGATCATTTCAAGCACGCGAGCGGCTGTTCCTTTTGTCAACCGAAAGCGTCCAATAAATTCGCCGTCGTCAAGCCAGTTCATGTCCAATCGTCGAAGGAATCTGTATGGTTTGCGTGGCACTCTTTCCATGGTACCAACTTCATCATCGCTATCTCTGTCGCTATCGTCACTAACCCAATTAACCACTGGCAAATGATACATGCCGCAGGCACTAAATTAAAAATATAATTGTGTTATGTATTCCAACCTCTGCCAAATTCTGACAGCAAGGTGCAGTCAAAAAACCCAAAATATGATAAATCTCGGTTTAACGAGAAAAAATCGGAGACTGAAACTTGGCCGCGTCGTAAACGGCGACGCAAAAATATTAAGTCGGTGTGAACAAACACAATTTTGAGTTAAATCACAATTCAGCGACTTTAAATCTCGTTGTAAATTTAAGCCTTCGCCAAAAAACTGGGCATATGAGTATCGATCGCAATGGTCTTAAAAAGGCTTTATTTCTTAATTGTATGTAGGAGGGTTGCTACCTATTTCAAAATGCAAGTTCGGCTTAAATAAAAGCTAAAAATTGAAATGGTTATCCTGATATGAATGCCAGACGAAACAGGTTGTTCGTAGCAGAGCTGAGTCACTTGTTCCTTACCTCGGGTGGGGGGTAACAAGTAACGCTCAGCAATGCGCGAACTACAAATACTCTTATTTTAAAATTCTCTACCCCTTACCACTGGTGGGGGGAAGTAGAGTTTAATAAAATAAGAGGTTAGTACTTTCAATATTAATAATTTTACCCCTTACCGCTGGTGGGGGGAAGTGAAACCTTAATAAAGAAAGAAGAAGACAGATAGTTAGATGCTTTACCCCTTACCTATGGTGGGGGGAAGTAAAGCATAAAATATAAAAGAAAGAAAAGAAGCGTGTTATTGAGAGTCTTTACGAATCTGATTAGTTTATTCAACATTTTTCTTTTATATACAATTTTCTAACTCTATTTCCTTAACTAATTATATATGTATGTGTGTGTATATGTACATATGCATGTATGTATATTTACATAAGATTACCAACCAATGCCTTGGTCTTCTAATTATATTTTTATTGCTTGCATGTGCATCGGCTATATATGTACATGCAAAGCATATTATCTAATGCATTTTCTAATGCATGCATAGGTATGTGTGTATATAGGGCTGTTCGCGACTCAGTGCATAAGAGCTGAAAAATTTATGCAATTGCAGAAATATGCCATGGATTGTGAGCGACCTTTATTAAACTGTCATGGTAAAACTTTTTTAATCAGTTGATAGAAATGTCAACCAGAGTTGCAATGCATAGCATTTTTATGCTATGGATTTTCGGTATTGCAAATTTGTCAAGCCATGACAAATGCAAATGCGTGTATTTTGTTTGTGTATTGCAAATAATTTGCAATACAAATTTGCAATGCAATGATGCTAGGCCATTTGCACCGGATCGCGAATAGCCCTTATATATTTGTATGCAAGAGATAAACGCATTGATCTCTTATTTCAGTATGTATTATAATTTATGTTATGATAAGCAGCAATCTTCGTACTCAGGCAACAAGATCGCAGAGAATTTCGATTGCTTTGCTTATCATACATTTGACATAGTAGTGGACTGTATACATATACGTAAATATTTTCTGTATGTAAATAAGTATGTTTTGTTTCTTGCATTGCATGTGCAGACAAAACGATCCTTTTCTTAATACATGTTCATATGGATGAGTATATGTTATTGTCTAAGTAGGTACATACATATGCACGTATTTTTCATGTTAAATTTTATTACCCTGGCAGATATGTACTCATGTTCAAAGATGTTTGAACATATTGCCGAGGACAAAAAAGTGATTATTTGTGTACTGTGTATACATATATTTTTAAATGTTTTTACTACCTATATTTATTATCTTACTTAGGCAGATATACCCATGTTCAAAGATATTTGAACACAGGTTGTGGTTTGAAAATATTTTTCAGAGGGTTGCCACCTTGTTACAAAGTTAGGTTCAATATAAGCAATAGATTAAATAAATTATTTCACTGTGAATATAAATCAGAATTGATTTGTAGAAACTTCATTTTCAAACTGCATGTAGGAGTGTTGCACCCGATTTTATAATTACATTTAAATTTAATTAAGAGGATTCAATAATTTAAATATGTATCACAATAAAGTGTCAGACGAAAAAGGTTTAATGACGTTTTGGTTTAAAATTAATTCGAACAGGATTGCCATCTGTTTGAAAAGTCGAATTAAATTAAATTATATGAAATATTGGTGTCAAAGGAAGGTGTTTTAAGAAAAATTTAGTTTAAGCATTTATAGCATTAAAGAGGGTTTCCACCTGTGTAAAAATTTAAACTCAAATTGCTTAATAAGTCAAATGAATTATTAAAGTTTATTGCCATATGTTTTTTAGAAATTAAATTCAACTTAAATTAAGGGAATTAGATAAACAATTTAAATATGTATCGCAATATGTGTCAGTCGAAAAAGGTTTTGGTTTTAATATATTTTGAATAGAGTTTCCACCTGTTTTAAAATTAGAATTTAATTAAATGAAGTGTTAAAACATGACAAAACATGAAATGAGCAGAAAAAGGTAAACTGAAATCATTTAATAAGTGCAAGCAATTATTAAAACATGGGTATCAAATAAAATGGGTTTAAAAAGGTTTTATTTCTAAACTGTATTTAGGAGCGTTGTTACGTATTTAAAAAATAGAGTTTAAGTTAATTCATCAGGCACATGAAATATATAGGTATCACAATATCAGACGGAAGCTGATGGTACATATTATTGAAGTTAATGTGGATCTGCTTCTCTATTGTTAAGTGTTAATATTTTGCAATTCGCTCATTGCAAACGTCAAGCTGTGAGGTTGTACTTTATTGTGCTCTGATTTTGGCTTTCTATTTGCTAAGTTTATTGTGCTAATTCTGAGTTAAAGTAGTGATAAAAAGTGCTTATGAGCATCTAGTCTGAAATAATTGTAGCTAAGTGAAAGTTAGTGTGTTTTATATTAAACAAAATTTAATTAAATTTCACTAGCATACATTCTAATCTTGCCGAGTCATTTGTTGCTATCATTGCTGTTGTATCCTTTGTAGTTAACAGTGGTTTTTGCACAGTTGTTCTACTCGTTTTGTTTACTTATTCTAGTAATTATTGTCACAGCTGTTTGCGTTGCGTTTATTAAGTGTCATAATTGCAGTGATATTCAAACTGTTCGCTAAATTTATTAAAAGCTAATTACATTAGCTCCGTAATTGTTATAATTTATTTTGTATGTCTTTTTATTAACGAGTGTTATTACCTAAATCTTTTAATATGAAGTGCGATCTTGATACTTGCCAAATTAAAAGCGATTCTGAACGCTACTTATCGTTCTGGCTATGTGATGATATTTATCATCTGAAATGTGCTAGTTTGACGGGAAGAATTCTGGACGCTATTAATGATGGCAAGGGCCTTCGCTGGTCTTGCGTAAAGTGCAGGTCAACAGAAGTTGATCTTTTCAAGCTATTTAGGCAAACCATAAATGGTTTTATAGAAATAGGAAGAGAATTGTCGGTACTGACAGAAAAATTTAAGCATTATGAAAATGTGTCTAAATCATTCAAATGCTTAGATACCTTGCAATCTGTTAAGGATATCCGCGTGTCTAAACGTAATCGTCTTCATAGTCCATCTAAGGAAATTATTGCCGTTGCACGTCAGAATAATCTTCCGACTGACTTAATTAATCTATCTTCTCCATGTCCTCCAGCATCCTCAGCCTCAAAAGAGCATGTAACGAAATCTGCTTCGGATAATAACGAGCCTGAAGTATATCCCCCTTGCCCCATTGAAGTGGTCGCATCATCTTCAAAGCCTCCACCGCCTTCCCTACCCTCAACTACTAACACAGTAGCTCAACCCCTTCTGCCCGTACTCCAGTCTAATACAAGGAAACTAGTTGTGGTTCCGCCAAAGAAGTCAATCTTTGTCTCCAGATTTTCGAGAGACACTACCGAAGACGATATAAAGATTTATAATAATATAATAATAACAGATTGGCGCTTAAACATATGTTAGTGTTTGGCCGAGCTTCTCCTCCGATTTGTGGCGTGTGAAAAGCTGTTTTTCATGGCAGAAATACACTCGGAGGTTTGCCATTGCCTGCCGAGGGACGACCGCTGTTAAGAAAACACTTTTTTTTCTATATTTTTGCGATGTTGCTTTGACCAGGGTTTGGACCCTGGTGCTGCGGACTGGAAGCGCGCACTGCTTACCACTACACCACAGCGGCCGACGA